CAGAGAGCAAGACATCTGCTTTCTGGAGGTAGTCCTCACGGTCAAGAACAACCACCAAATTGCCATTGTCGGAAGGAAGGATAAGAATAGAGTTGTTAGATTTCCATAAAACAAAGTTTGCCAAACTCGAAGTAGAAAGAAAAAATGACGAAACTTTTCAGGAAAACAGATGATCGCTTCATTTCTTATGTCAACACCCGCCGTTTCCCCGCACTTGATAAGATGTCCAGACATTGAATTTCCGAGAAAAACGGCGTCGACATAAACCTTTTTCCAAAATTCATTTTTGGGTTATACGGAATTAAAAAAGTACTCCATTGCGTAATTTACACAGTGTGCGTCCACAAATTATCTTTCAATCTACACAAACTTTTTTTTTTTTGGAAGGAGATGGGTTTAGCATCATTCTCTGGCCAGGCACTGTTGTTCTGACACACAACACAATGTTCCCTAACTGTGTTCATTCACTGTGTTCATTCACTGTGTTCTCTCACTGTGTTCTCTCACTGGTCAGCACAGAGCTCCTTCATAGTCTTACACTGTGAGTAAGAATTAATTTTAAGTGACACCATTAGAGTTTTTAGTCAACCTAAGAGCACCCCAATTCTGACGCTTTCGTGGACTAATGAGTACCAATAGGTTACCAGTGTGACCGCACGCTCCAAGCGTACTTGGAGCGTGCGCTTCTGGCTAGACAAATCCACGTCATATCTGACGCATTTCAAATCGTAAGAACTGTCTTGAAATAATTACATTCGAATTATTATGACGTATTGGGCCCTAATAGGTGGGCCTAGTTTAAATACACGCCTTCTCACTCATACCTAACCCGTGTGTTCGTGAATTCTGCTAAACTGTCTCATTAACCCCTAACTGTCAGTCTCTGTCAACCCATTCAACTCTCTGTCATTGTTGTGTTCGTTATTTTTTTTATTTTCACAGATGGGTACAGGATGGTACACATATAGAGGTACACAAGGGAAAGATACCTAAAAGAGGGTGGAGGGAGGGGAAGGGGGTAGAGTTGAGGAACAGCTTGAGGAGTACCAGTGAGAGTCCTTGTGACGGAGGAGTATTACTTCTTCCTACTTCTTAGATGTGTCTTGTCTGGCCTTCTTTCTTCTTAGGTCTTCATTGTTGATAATATTACACTTTCAGGTTTAGGGTTGACTCCTTGTAGTGTCACTGCTGGAGACACTAGCACCGGGGTCCGGGGCCTGGTGTTGGTCGGTGTTGTTCTTCCATTGTAGAAGCAACAGTGCTGACGAGGAGTCACACTAACGGGGCTGAAGAAATGATGACCAAACCACAACTCAGAAGATGGAGAAACGACGACGTTTCGGTCCGTCCTGGACGATCATCAAGTCGTCGCTTCTCTATCCTCTGGATTGTGGCTTGGCCATCAAACAATAGCATGACAGATCAAGCTCTTCAACTGTGGCACCAGGAGCATATGCTTCGTAAGCTTCCCAGCTTATCATTCTCTGGAACACATTGTGTTCCAGAGAATGTTCTACGGTAGATATACAACCTGGAGACGCAGTTATCTCTAAGATAACGCAGTTATCTCTAAGGAACCTTGAATCATTCTTAAATTTGTCAATTTTGTTCTGGGAAGTCGACCATGGACAGGTTAGCGAATTTTTCAGTCTTTTGCTGTATCGGTGTGGTTGTTTGGGTGGAGGTTCAGGTAGTAGAGCAGAGTCGATGGTTACAGTTTGATGACTTGGTTGGTGAGGATGGGGAAGGGAGGGAATTATTAGGAAAAAGCGCCAAGCCTTTACAACCCATTAGCACTGGGAAGGGGCGGGAAGGAATGGTGCCCAACTACTTGGACGGTCGGGGATTGAACGGCGAACTGCATGAAGCGAGACTGTCGCTCCACGCAAGATGGGAGTCTGCAGTGGATGTAGTGACGATCGTGGACTGTGCTCGGTTACATCGGACTTCTGCGGTGGTGGGTGACGTGCCCATGATCACATACGTGGCGTTACATACATGGCGTTACATACGTCACGTTACACACTGCATGTGTGTGTGTTACCTGCTCTAACTTACTTAGAACCCCCGGTAATATATTTTTTATTAATATATACAAGAGTTGTTACATTCTTGTACAGCCACTAGTACGCGTAGCGTTCCGGGCAGGTCCTTAATCCTGTGTTCCCTGGAATACGACCCCCGCGAAGAATCGTTTTTACAACCAAATACCCATTTTACTGTTGAGTTAAACAGAGGCTACAGTTAAGGATTTGCGTCCAGTAAATTCTCCCCAGCCAGGATACGAACCCAGGACAGAGCGCTTGCGGACCGCCAGGCGAGCGTCTTACCACTACGCCACGGAGACTGGTGAGTGGTGAGGCAATATCATCAGCAAGTGTGCCTCCTGAACCTGTTCCACACCTGACATCACCCTCATAGCCCTCTACACCAGTGGTTCCCTAGCTCTAGGTCACTACAACAGTCCCCATTAAAGGTCAAGGGCGCGCTATCCTCGCAGCGCAGTGGTAACACTCGCCCGGCGCTTCGCGAGCGATTTGTGCCTGGGTTCGTATCCTGGATTATTGACTAGGCATCAATCCTTAACTGTACGCCTTTGTACACCCAGCAGTGAATGGGTAGCCTGATTGTTAAGGGACTTGGCGAGTCGTATTCCAGGGAAAATTATGATTTAGGACGTGCGCGAAACGCTATGTGGCTTTACAAGAACGTGAGAAATCTTGTATATACGACCTCCTTTTACATATAGAGTCCTTAGTAATGGCCCCGTCCCCAGCAGAGAGGCAAAGTGAGAACATGTAGGGAACCTGTAAGATCACTCCACTAGCTGGTTATTTCCCCTCTACCCTCTGGGATCATAACCTGTACACTGCCTCAACTTATGGCCTCTTATATATAGGTCCAAGGCCCCGGGGCTCTAGGCAGAGCATAGGTGTGTGCTCAGAGGTATTACGACTTGAAAAGTTCTATGACGGTGCAAAGTGTTGGAAAGCATTCTGCTCTTAACACAGGCATAATAATATGCAAATATGATATAACTATATTTTATTCAGTTTGTTAAGTTAGCTCTAGCGTAAAGGTATCATAAACATAAATTACTGCTCTTGAAACACTCACTGAAAATTCAACATATCCGGTATTTACACAACAAAACACGGAGGTAAAAATATATCAGGTATAATGTTAGTTACAAGCGAAGAGACGCTGGAGTTCCCAGGGTTCTTGGCCAGCATGATGGTATACACCTCAGGCTAGTATGATGCTATACACCTCAGGCAAGCATGATGCTATACACCTCAGGCTAGCATGATGCTATACACCTCAGGCTAGCATGATGCTATACACCTCAGGCTAGCATGATGCTATACACCTCAGCCTAGCATGATGCTATACACCTCAGGCCAGCATGATGCTATACACCTCAGGCTAGCATGATGCTATACACCTCAGGCTAGCATGATGCTATATACCTCAGGCTAGCATGATGCTATACACCTCAGGCTAGCATGATGCTATACACCTCAGGCCAGCATGATGGTATAGACCTCAGGCTAGCATGATGCTATACACCTCAGGCTAGCATGATGCTATACACCTCAGGCTAGCATGATGCTATACACTTAAGGCTAGCATGACGCTATACACCTCAGGCTAGCATGACGCTATACACCTCAGGCCAGCATGATGCTATACACCTCAGGCTAGCATGACGCTATACACCTCAGGCCAGCATGATGCTATACACCTCAGGCTAGCATGACGCTATACACCTCAGGCTAGCATGATGCTATACACCTCAGGCTAGCATGACGCTATACACCTCAGGCCAGCATGACACTATATACCTCAGGCTAGCATGATGCTATACACCTCAGGCCAGCATGACGCTATACACCTCAGGCCAGCATGACGCTATACACCTCAGGCCAGCATGACGCTATACACCTCAGGCTAGCATGAAGCTATACACCTCAGGCTAGCATGACGCTATACACCTCAGGCCAGCATGATGCTATACACCTCAGGCTAGCATGAAGCTATACACCTCAGGCTAGCATGACGCTATACACCTCAGGCCAGCATGACGCTATACACCTCAGGCTAGCATGACGCTATACACCTCAGGCTAGCTTGATGGTATACACCCTAGGCTAGCATGACGCTATACACCTCAGGCTAGCATGATGCTATACACCTCAGGCTAGCATGACGCTATACACCTCAGGCCAGCATGATGCTATACACCTCAGGCCAGCATGACGCTATACACCTCAGGCCAGCATGACGCTATACACCTCAGGCCAGCATGACGCTATACACCTCAGGCTAGCATGACGCTATACACCTCAGGCTAGCATGACGCTATACACCTCAGGCTAGCATGATGCTATACACCTCAGGCTAGCATGACGCTATACACCTCAGGCCAGCATGATGCTATACACCTCAGGCCAGCATGACGCTATACACCTCAGGCTAGCATGACGCTATACACCTCAGGCCAGCATGATGCTATACACCTCAGGCCAGCATGACGCTATACACCTCAGGCTAGCATGACGCTATACACCTCAGGCTAGCATGACGCTATACACCTCAGGCTAGCATGATGCTATACACCTCAGGCTAGCATGATGCTATACACCTCAGGGTAGCATGATGCTATACACCTCAGGCTAGCATGACGCTATACACCTCAGGCCAGCATGATGCTATACATCTCAGGCTAGCATGATGCTATACACCTCAGACTAGCATGATGCTATACACCTCAGGCTAGCATGACGCTATACACCTCAGGCTAGCATGATGCTATACACCTCAGGCTAGCATGATGCTATACACCTCAGGCTAGCATAACGCTATACACCTCAGGCTAGCATGACACTATACACCTCAGGCTAGCATGACGCTATACACCTCAGGCCAGCATGACGCTATACACCTCAGGCCAGCATGATGCTATACACCTCAGGCCAGCATGATGCTATACACCTCAGGCTAGCATGACGCTATACACCTCAGGCCAGCATGATGCTATACACCTCAGGCTAGGATGACGCTATACACCTCAGGCCAGCATGACACTATACACCTCAGGCCAGCATGACACTATACACCTCAGGCCAGCATGATGCTATACACCTCAGGCTAGCATGACGCTATACACCTCAGGCTAGCATATGACGCTATACACCTCAGGCTAGCATGATGCTATACACCTCAGGCTAGTATGATGCTATACACCTCAGGCCAGCATGATGCTATACACCTCAGGCTAGCATGATGCTATACACCTCAGGCTAGCATGATGCTATACACCTCAGGCTAGTATGATGCTATACACCTCAGGCCAGCATGATGCTATACACCTCAGGCTAGCATGATGCTATACACCTCAGGCTAGCATGATGCTATACACCTCAGGCTAGCATGATGCTATACACCTCAGGCTAGCATGATGCTATACACCTCAGGCTAGCATGATGCTATACACCTCAGCCTAGCATGATGCTATACACCTCAGGCCAGCATGATGCTATACACCTCAGGCTAGCATGATGCTATACACCTCAGGCCAGCATGATGGTATAGACCTCAGGCTAGCATGATGCTATACACCTCAGGCTATCATGATGCTATACACCTCAGGCTAGCATGATGCTATACACTTAAGGCTAGCATGACGCTATACACCTCAGGCTAGCATGACGCTATACACCTCAGGCCAGCATGATGCTATACACCTCAGGCTAGCATGACGCTATACACCTCAGGCCAGCATGATGCTATACACCTCAGGCTAGCATGACGCTATACACCTCAGGCTAGCATGATGCTATACACCTCAGGCTAGCATGACGCTATACACCTCAGGCCAGCATGACACTATATACCTCAGGCTAGCATGATGCTATACACCTCAGGCCAGCATGACGCTATACACCTCAGGCCAGCATGACGCTATACACCTCAGGCCAGCATGACGCTATACACCTCAGGCTAGCATGAAGCTATACACCTCAGGCTAGCATGACGCTATACACCTCAGGCCAGCATGATGCTATACACCTCAGGCTAGCATGAAGCTATACACCTCAGGCTAGCATGACGCTATACACCTCAGGCCAGCATGACGCTATACACCTCAGGCTAGCATGACGCTATACACCTCAGGCTAGCTTGATGGTATACACCCTAGGCTAGCATGACGCTATACACCTCAGGCTAGCATGATGCTATACACCTCAGGCTAGCATGACGCTATACACCTCAGGCCAGCATGATGCTATACACCTCAGGCCAGCATGACGCTATACACCTCAGGCCAGCATGACGCTATACACCTCAGGCCAGCATGACGCTATACACCTCAGGCTAGCATGACGCTATACACCTCAGGCTAGCATGACGCTATACACCTCAGGCTAGCATGATGCTATACACCTCAGGCTAGCATGACGCTATACACCTCAGGCCAGCATGATGCTATACACCTCAGGCCAGCATGACGCTATACACCTCAGGCTAGCATGACGCTATACACCTCAGGCCAGCATGATGCTATACACCTCAGGCCAGCATGACGCTATACACCTCAGGCTAGCATGACGCTATACACCTCAGGCTAGCATGACGCTATACACCTCAGGCTAGCATGATGCTATACACCTCAGGCTAGCATGATGCTATACACCTCAGGGTAGCATGATGCTATACACCTCAGGCTAGCATGACGCTATACACCTCAGGCCAGCATGATGCTATACATCTCAGGCTAGCATGATGCTATACACCTCAGACTAGCATGATGCTATACACCTCAGGCTAGCATGACGCTATACACCTCAGGCTAGCATGACGCTATACACCTCAGGCCAGCATGATGCTATACACCTCAGGCTAGCATAACGCTATACACCTCAGGCTAGCATGACACTATACACCTCAGGCTAGCATGACGCTATACACCTCAGGCCAGCATGACGCTATACACCTCAGGCCAGCATGATGCTATACACCTCAGGCCAGCATGATGCTATACACCTCAGGCTAGCATGACGCTATACACCTCAGGCCAGCATGATGCTATACACCTCAGGCTAGGATGACGCTATACACCTCAGGCCAGCATGACACTATACACCTCAGGCCAGCATGACACTATACACCTCAGGCCAGCATGATGCTATACACCTCAGGCTAGCATGACGCTATACACCTCAGGCTAGCATATGACGCTATACACCTCAGGCTAGCATGATGCTATACACCTCAGACCAGCAAGATGGTGGGAGAGGCTTCACAGGACCACCTGTGGGGAAGAGGGTGCTGTGGGCGAGGCTTGCTAGTATATACCAATGTCAGCACAGCCACGGAAGGTCTCCTGTGGTCCACAGCCCACAGCCTCAGTACCGTTGCCGCAGTCTCCCCAAGCGTTCCCTGTTAGTAACAATTGTTATTTTGACATTTGGCGTCAATGTTAACATTTGTAATAATCTGGTTAATATTGAGTGATATATGTGTAGGAGAAGTGTGTAGGAGAAGTGTGTAGGAGAAGTGTATAGGAGAAGTGTGTAGGAGAAGTGTGTAGAAGTGTGTGTAGGAGAAGTGTGTAGGAGAAGTGTGTGGGAGAAGTGTGTAGGAAAAGTGTGTAGAAGTGTGTGTAGAAGTGTGTAGTAGAAGTGTGTGTAGGAGAAGTGTGTAGGAGAAGTGTGTGGGAGAAGTGTGTAGGAGAAGTGTGTAGGAGAAGTGTGTGGGAGAAGTGTGTGGGAGAAGTGTGTGGGAGAAGTGTGTAGGAGAAGTGTGTAGGAGAAGTGTGTAGGAGTAGTGTGTGGGAGAAGTGTGTGGGAGAAGTGTGTGGGAGAAGTGTGTAGGAGAAGTGTGTAGGAGAAGTGTGTAGGAGAAGTGTGTAGGAGAAGTGTGTAGGAGAAGTGTGTAGGAGTAGTGTGTAGAAGTGTGTGTAGGAGAAGTGTGTAGGAGAAGTGTGTAGGAGAAGTGTGTAGGAGTAGTGTGTAGGAGTAGTGTGTGGGAGAAGTATGTAGAAGTGTGTAGAAGTGTGTGTAGGAGAAGTGTGTGGGAGAAGTGGCACCGAAATCCACAAGTTATGTTTGCAACTAACTTAATTTATCTTTGTGCGTTGGCTTATCATGGTCATCACAGGCGTATTACTGATTGTTCCTAGGATGCAACCCACAACAGTTGGCTAACACACCGGTACATATGTGACTGCAAAATGAACAGATGCATGAGATTAAAGGAAAGGTGCCCAACCGTTATTGTCCTGTCCGAGGATTCGAAGGCTTTGATTGTGAGCTGAAGACCACAAAACTACGGGATGGTGAGGTTAGGTTAGGTTAGGTAGGTTAGGTAAGGCTTGGTTAGGTTAGGTTAACTAAGGCTTGGTTAGCATTGACTAGGTTTGGTTAGCTTTAACTAAGGTTGTTTAGCTTTCAATAGGTTAGGTTAGGCTTGATTAGATAGGTTAGGTTAGGTTAGGTTAGGCTTGATTAGATAGGCAGGTCAGCTTTAATTACGACCGGCCAGGCTGAGCGTGATCAGGTGCAGTAATCCAACCTTCCCAACTACCAACAACACGAGTCATATAGCACCCTCCCTTACTAAAGGAAGGACGGGACGCTAAACTGAGATATGAGGACAAGGAGCTGGGATATGAGGACAAGGAGCTGGGATATGTGGACAAGGAGCTGGGATATGAGGACAAGGAGCTGGGATATGTGGACAAGGAGCTGGGATATGTGGACAAGGAGCTGGGATATGAGGGGCAAGGAGCTAGGATATGAGGACAAGGAGCTGGAATATGAGGACAAGGAGCTGGGATATGAGGACAAGGAGCTGGCATATGAGGACAAAGAGCTGGGGTATGAGGACAAGAAGCTGGGATATGAGGACATGACAGTGCCACTGAGGTGACGTTACCTGCGTGGTAGTGCCACTGGAGAACACACTGGGTGCACACGACGTCTTTGGGCAGCGTCACTGTAGTATTGTGCCACTCTGGCTCCTGTAATGTGGACAATTATATCATTATTTGGAGAAAAAAAAACATTGAACTGTTACGTTACTAACCAGACCAACGCTTGACCCTTCCCCAAGATGCCACCCACAACAGTTGGCTACCTCCCGGGAACTTATTTACTGCTAGGTAATCAGGTGCATCAGATGCAATGAAACGTACACAAACGTCCCAGCCCGGGAATCGAACTCGGAACTATATGGCTGTGAGCCAGCGGTGGGGACTAATAGGCTACAGGACCCACCACCACATACTCCTGTGACATGAGTAGTAGTAGATGGAGAGGTCATGCACAGGAACGACATAGGCAGGCACAGGAGTACTGCACAGGTTGTCTAGTGGGGTCTAAAACCTGTACTGACGTCGTCACGCCATGGTGACGTCATACTTCGCACCCAATGTAAACAGCAGTAGTTTATCACTTAGTTCCATTAATGTTACGTCAGGCTTGGTTAGGTTAGGTTAGGTTAGGTTAGGTACAGTTGGGTTAGGCATAGTTAGATTAGGTTAGGTTAAGTTATCTTTGGTTATTATTGGTATTATATTAGGTTATATGTTATGTTAGGTTATTTTATGTTTGGTTAGGTTATTTTATGTTTGGTTAGGTTAAGTTGATTTAGGTTAGGATAGGTTAGGTCAGGTTAAGTTAGGATAGGTTAGGGTAGATAAAGTTGGGTTAGGCTACTTTACGTTTTGTTTTTATGTGTCGGAAATTTCCGACACTAGATTACTAACACGTAACATACCGAGCAAAAACGGTTGTTAGGAACATACTAACCTACTAATCATTATAAGATAACTATTAAAAGAACTAGGTTTCGTGTTTCTCAAAGAAAATGGTATGTTAGTCACGTTACCAAAAACCACTATTTAATCACATCACTTTATGAATTCATAAAACAACCAGTCTAGGGATTAAACGTGATAAAAAAGTGTTCTCGATGATTTAACCTAATATAAACTACCATAAAATGAAAGGCTCCTTCCCATTGTCAATAAAAAGACAGAAAATAGAACTGTACTTTTTTCGGTACGCGTTTCCCCTCAGGGAGGCGAGCCAGCATGGAGAGTTAAGAACTCTCCTCGTGTGGGACCCCGACACTCAACACTACAAAGACTCGACATTAGCAGTCGATCAACAGTGAATTTGCCACTGCAACCTCAATAACAATGGGGAGCACCTTATTTCCGGTTTGAAGTAATTACCTTTTAATAGTAGGCATTTGTACAATAAACTCTTGAACTATATGTTTAACACATCTCTAACCCTGTCCATGGAGGACAGAAGAAAATGTATATATGCTGGTTAGCATTGTAAATGTGTGGCCACGTCTGTGGTAGAAAAAAAAATTAGAAGGCATGCAGATGAGGAGTGACAATAATGTGGCTGAAAAATGTTGACCAAACCACACACTAGAAAGTGAAGAGACGACGACGTTTCGGTCCGTCCTGGACCATTCTCAAGTCGAAACGTCGTAGTCTCTTGACTTTCTAGTGTGTGGTTTGGGTCAACAATTGATGGCATGATAATATAAGTTAAATTCAACTCTGCCATAATGCGGGCGAACACCACAACCAAGGGAAGCTTGGTTTCATAAATTACTAAACCTTTCCTTGTTATATAACGCCTTTGAGGATACAGTTTAGCACTCTGTAATTACACCGCAGTTGCAGTTCAAGGGAGGAAGAAATCACAGCGAGTTGTTTGCACCTACGTGAACCTGTACACTCCTAATACTTGCTCGAACACGAGACGACATGGCTGACATTACCAGGACGTGTGCTTGTTAGGCTTGGTTACCTTAGGTTAAGTTAGGTTAGGTTAGGTTAGGTTTGGTTAGGTTAGAATAGGTTAGGTTAGGTTTGGTTAGGTTAGGTTAGAATAGAATAGGTTAGGTTAGGATAGGTTAGCTTAGCATAGGTTAGAATAGGTTAGGTTAGGATAGGTTAGAATAGGTTAGGTTAGAATAGGTTAGGTTAGATTAGAATAGGTTAGGATAGAATAGGTTAGGTTAGGATAGGTTAGCTTAGGTTAGGAGAGGTTATCTTGAGATGATTTCGGGGCTTTAGTGTCCCCGCGGCCCGGTCCTCGACCAGGCCTCCACCCCCAGGAAGCAGCCCGTGACAGCTGACTAACTCCCAGGTACCTATTTACTGCTAGGTAACAGCCGCTTTCAGGGTGAAAGAAACTTTGCCCATTTGTTTCTGCCTCGTGCGGGAATTGAACCCGCGCCACAGAATTACGAGTCCTGCGCGCTATCCACGAGGCTACGAGGCCCCACCTTTCACCTACGAGGTTAGGTTAGAATAGATTAGGTTAGGTTAGGTTAGGTTAGAATAGGTTAGGTTAGGTTAGGATAGGTTAGGTAAAGTTGTATTAGGCATGGTTAGGTTAGGTTAGACTATGTTTGTTTATGTTAGGTTAGGTTAAATTTGCTTAGGCTAGGTTAGTTTTTTTTTTTTTTTTTTTTGCGATATATACAAGAGTTGTTACATTCTTGTACAGCCACTAGTACGCGTAGCGTTTCGGGCAGGTCCCTGGAATACGATCCCCGCCGCGAAGAATCGTTTTTTCATCCAAGTACACATTTTACTGTTGAGTTAAACAGAGGCTACAGTTAAGGAATTGTGCCCAGTAAATCCTCCCCGGCCAGGATACGAACCCATGACAAAGCGCTCGCGGAACGTCAGGCGAGTGTCTTACCACTACACCACGGAGACTGTTTAGGTTAGATTTATTTATAGTAAGAATAACTTAGAGGGATACAGTGTTCTCAGGTTGTGTACTGTTACTTTACACAACCTGCAGCTTTGAAGATGGGGCTCAAGAGCTGGGGCTCAAGAGCTGGGGCTCAACTCTGCAAGCACAGCTGGTTATGTGGACTGAATTGACTTTCATGTTTTTGCAGGGTTCAACTAGTGTGTGTGTATTTACTATTTGTATCTGCAGCATTGAGCTATTAGGTCTTAGACCCCGCCTTTCTGATCAACTGATTTTCCTTTTGTGTCTACTACATACATTTATCTCGCACACACATCCCAGGAAGCTGTGCGTAGCAGCTGTCTAATTCTCGGGGACTTATTTACTGCTAGGTGAAAAGGCGCAACAAGGTGAAAGAAACTCTGCCCATATGTTTCTGCCTCTGCTAAGGATTTAACCCCGGCCCTGAAGACTACGACCCTGTCTACTCAGCCGCGAGGCCCCATCATCTCGTTCTCTGTGTGTATTCACCTAGTTGTATTTCACCTAGTTGTGCTTGCGGTGGTTGAGCTCTGTTCTTTCGGCCCGCCACTCAACTGTCAGTCAACTGTTACTAACTACAATTTTTTTGTTTTCCACACACACACACACACACCCAGGAAGCAGCCCGTGACAGCAGACTAACTCCCAGGTACCTATTTACTGCTAGGTAACAGGAGCATCAGGGTGAGAGAAACTCTGCCCATCGATTCTCGCCGGCGCCAGGAATCGTGTCACAGGATTACGTGTCCAGCCTGCTATACACACAGCCACCGGCGCCTAAAGAAACATTGCATGAACACAAGGGCAGTGATGAGGGTTCGAACCTACGCACAGGATGTTCCCAGATGCGCCTTAGTCAACTGTACCACCACATAAGCCCAGCAACCATGTGAGTGTGTGTGTGTGTGTGTGTGTGTGTGTGTGTGTGTGTGTGTGTGTGTGTGTGTGTGTGTGTGTGTGTGTGTGTGTGTGTGTGTGTGTGTGTGTGTGTGTGTGTGTGTGTGTGTGTGTGTGTGTGTGTGTGTGTGTGTGTGTGTGTGTGTGTGTGTGTGTGTGTGTGTGTGTGTGTGTGTGTGTGTGTGTGTGTGAGTGTGTGAGTGTGTGTGTGTGTGTGTGTGTGTGTGTGTGTGTGTGTGTGTGTGTGTGTGTGTGTGTGTGTGTGTGTGTGTGTGTGTGTGTACTCACCTAGTTGTACTCACCTAGTTGTGTCTGCAGGATCGAGCATTGACTCTTGGATCCCGCCTTTCGAGCATCGGTTGTTTACAGCAATGACTCCTGTCCCATTTCCCTATCATACCTGGTTTTAAAATTATGAATAGTATTTGCTTCCACAACCTGTTCCTGAAGTGCATTCCATTTTCCCACTACTCTCACGCTAAAAGAAAACTTCCTAACATCTCTGTGACTCATCTGAGTTTCAAGCTTCCATCCATGTCCCCTCGTTCTGTTACTATTCCGTGTGAACATTTCGTCTATGTCCACTCTGTCAATCCCTCTGAGTATCTTATACGTTCCTATCATGTCCCCCCTCTCCCTTCTTCTTTCTAGTGTCGTAAGGCACAGTTCCCTCAGGCGCTCCTCATACCCCATCCCTCGTAGCTCTGGGACGAGTCTCGTTGCAAACCTCTGAACCTTTTCCAGTTTCATTATATGCTTCTTCAGATGGGGACTCCATGATGAGGCGGCATACTCTAAGACTGGCCTTACGTAGGCAGTGTAAAGCGCCCTAAATGCCTCCTTACTTAGGTTTCTGAATGATGTTCTAACTTTTGCCAGTGTAGAGTACGCTGCTGTCGTTATCCTATTTATATGTGCCTCAGGAGATAGATTAGGTGTTACGTCCACCCCCAGGTCTCTTTCACGCGTCGTTACAGGTAGGCTGTTCCCCTTCATTGTGTACTGTCCCTTTGGTCTCCTATCTCCTAGTCCCATTTCCATAACTTTACATTTGCTCGTGTTGAATTCCAGTAGCCATTTCTCTGACCATCTCTGCAACCTGTTCAGGTCCTCTTGGAGGATCCTGCAATCCTCATCTGTCACAACTCTTCTCATCAACTTTGCGTCATCCGCAAACATCGACATGTAGGACTCTACGCCTGTAAACATGTCGTTAACATATACAAGAAATAGAATTGGTCCCAGCACCGATCCTTGTGGTACTCCACTTGTTACTGTTCGCCAGTCCGACTTCTCGCCCCTTACCGTAACTCTTTGGCTCCTTCCTGTTAGGTAGTTCCTTATCCATGCTAGGACCTTTCCCCCCACCCCCGCCTGCCTCTCGAGCTTGAACAGCAGTCTCATGTGCGGTACTGTATCAAAGGCTTTTTGGCAGTCCAGAAATATGCAGTCTGCCCAACCATCTCTGTCCTGTCTTATCCTCGTTATTTTATCATAGAATTCCAGAAGGTTTGTTAGGCACGATTTCCCTGTCCAGAACCCATGTTGATGTTTGTTCACAAACCTAATGTTCTCCAGGTGTGCAACCAGTCGTAGCCTAATTATTCTTTCCAGTATTTTACAGGGGATGCTTGTCAGTGATACAGGTCTATAGTTAAGTGCCTCCTCCCTATCACCTTTCTTGAAGATCGGCACGACATTTGCCTTCTTCCAGCAACTGGGCAATTCTCCTGACATAAGTGACTCATTAAAGATCATTGCCAGAGGCACGCTGAGGGCCTGTGCTGCTTCTTTTAGTATCCACGGTGATACTTTGTCTGGTCCAACTGCTTTAGTTGCATCTAGAGTTGTCAACTGTTTCATTACCTCCTCTGCTGTCACCTCTATATCTGATAGTCTTTCATCTAGGGTAACCCCTTCCAACAATGGGAGCTGCTCAGGCTCGGTAGTGAACACTCCATGGAAACTGGCATTCAGTGCCTCGCAGATTTCCTTGTCACTTTCAGTATATGCCCCCTCTGTCTTCCTTAGTCTTGTCACTTGGTCATTCACCGACATTTTTCTTCTTATATGACTGTGTAGTAACTTAGGTTGTTTTTTCGCTTTGATTGCAATATCGTTCTCATAGTCCCTTTCCGATGTTCGTCTTATGTTAATGTAATCGTTCCTAGCTCTGTTGTATCTGATCCTGTTGTCCTCTGTTCTTTGTCTTCTGTACTTCCTCCACTCCCGCCTGCTGGCCATTTTTGCTTCCTGACACTGTCTATTAAACCATGGGTTATTATATTCCTTCTTATTTTTTCCCTTTACCGTTGGTATAAATCTCTCTTCGGCCTCCTGGCATTTCTGTATGACTAGGTCCATCATATCTTGGACTGTTTTTCCTCTAATTTCTTCCTCCCTTTCCTATGTGTGTGTGTGAGTGTGTGTGTGTGTGTGTGTGTGTGTGTGTGTGTGTGTGTGTGTGTGTGTGTGTGTGTGTGTGTGTGTGTGTGTGTGTGTGTGTGTGTGTGTGTGTGAGTGTGTGTGTGTGTACTCACCTTTTTGTGCTTGCGGGGGTTGAGCTTTGGCTCTTTGTTCCCGCCTCTCAACTGTCAATCAACTGGTGTACAGATTCCTGAGCCTACTGGGCTCTATCATATCTACATTTAAAACTGTGTATGGAGTCAGCCTCCACCACATCACTGCCTAATGCATTCCATCCGTTAACTACTCTGACACTGAAAAAGTTCCTTCTAACGTCTCTGTGGCTCATGTGGGTACTCAGTTTCCACCTGTGTCCCCTTGTTCGCGTCCCACCAGTGTTGAATAGTTTATCCTTGTTTACCCGGTCGATTCCTCTGAGGATTTTGTAGGTTGTGATCATGTCTCCCCTTACTCTTCTGTTTTCCAGTGTCGTAAGGTGCATTTCCCGCAGCCTTTCCTCGTAACTCATGCCTCTTAGTTCTGGAACTAGTCTAGTGGCATACCTTTGGACTTTTTCCAGCTTCGTCTTGTGCTTGACAAGGTACGGGCTCCATGCTGGGGCCGCATACTCCAGGATTGGTCTTACATATGTGGTGTACAAGATTCTGAATGATTCCTTACACAGGTTCCTGAACGCTGTTCTGATGTTAGCCAGCCTCGCATATGCCGCAGACGTTATTCTTTTTATGTGGGCTTCAGGAGACAGGTTTGGTGTGATATCAACTCCTAGATCTTTCTCTCTGTTCGTTTCATTAAGTACTTCATCTCCTATTCTGTATCCTGTGTTTGGCCTCCTATTTCCACTGCCTAGTTTCATTACTTTGCATTTACTCGGGTTGAACTTCAACAGCCATTTGTTGGACCATTCACTCAGTCTGTCTAGGTCATCTTGTAGCCTCCTACTATCGTCCTCAGTTTCAATCCTCCTCATAATTTTTGCATCATCGGCAAACATTGAGAGAAACGATTCTATACCCTCTGGAAGATCATTTACATATATCAGAAACAGTATAGGTCCAAGGACTGACCCCTGCGGTACTCCACTCGTAACGTCTCGCCAATCTGAGACCTCACCCCTCACACAGACTCGTTGTCTCCTGTTACTTAGGTACTCCTGTATCCAACAGAGTACCTTCCCTTTCACTCCAGCCTGCATCTCCAGTTTTTTCACTAGCCTCTTGTGTGGCACTGTATCAAAGGCTTTCTGACAATCCAAAAATATGCAGTCTGCCCACCCTTCTCTTTCTTGCCTTATTTTTGTTGCCTGGTCGTAGAATTCAAGTAACCCTGTGAGGCAGGACCTGCCATCCCTGAATCCATGTTGATGCTGTGTTACAAAGTTCTTTCGCTCCAGGTGCTCCACAAGCTTTCTTCGCACAATCTTCTCCATCATCTTGCATGGTATGCAGGTTAGGGACACTGGCCTGTAATTCAGTGCCTCCTGTCTATCCCCTTTCTTGTATATCGGGACTACGTTAGCTGCTTTCCAAATTTCTGGCAGTTCCCCTGTTGCCAGTGATTTGTTATACACCATGGAGAGTGGGAGGCACAGTTCTTCTGCTCCTTCCTTTAGTATCCAAGGGGAGATTCCATCTGGGCCTATAGCCTTTGTCACATCCAATTCTAGTAAACACTTCCTTACTTCCCCGCTGGTAATCTCAAACTCTTCCAGTGGTTCCTGGTTAGCTATTCCCTCTCTTATCTCTGGGATTTCTCCTTGCTCTAAGGTGAAGACCTCTTGGAATTTCTTATTCAGTTCCTCACACACTTCCTTGTCGTTTGTAGTGAATCCTTCTGCCCCTATCCTTAATTTCATAACCTGTTCCTTTACTGTTGTTTTTCTCCTGATGTGGCTATGCAGCAATTTAGGCTGAGTCTTTGCCTTGCTTGCGATGTCATTTTCGTATTGTCTTTCTGCCTCTCTTCTCATCCTGACATATTCATTCCTGGCATTCTGGTATCTTTCTCTGCTCTCCAGTGTCCTGTTATTCCTATAGTTTCTCCATGCCCTTTTACTTTGCTGCTTAGCTAGCCTACATCTCTGATTAAACCATGGGTTTCTCATCTTCATTTCTCTGTTTTCCTTTTGGACTAGGACAAACTTGTTTGCTGCGTCCTTGCATTTTTGCGTGATGTATTCCATCATGTGTGTGTGTGTGTGTGTGTGTGTGTGTGTGTGTGTGTGTGTGTGTGTGTGTGTGTGTGTGTGTGTGTGTGTGTGTGTGTGTGTGTGTGTGTGAGTGTGAGTGTGTGTGTGTGTGTGTGTGTACTCACCTATTTGTACTCACCTATTTGTGCTTGCGGGGGTTGAGCTTTGGCTCTTTGGTCCCGCCTCTCAACTGTCAATCAACTGGTGTACAGATTCCTGAGTCTACTGGGCTCTATCATATCTACATTTAAAACTGTGTATGGAGTCAGCCTCCACCACATCACTGCCTAATGCATTCCATCCGTTAACTACTCTGACACTGAAAAAAGTTCCTTCTAACGTCTCTGTGGCTCATGTGGGTACTCAGTTTCCACCTGTGTCCCCTTGTTCGCGTCCCACCAGTGTTGAATAGTTTATCCTTGTTTACCCGGTCGATTCCTCTGAAGATTTTGTAGGTTGTGATCATGTTCCCCTTACTCTTCTGTTTCCTTTCCTCGTAACTCATGCCTCATGTGTGTGTGTGTGTGAACCATGACCTCTCAAGAGAACCACGACACTTATCTCTCTCTCTCTCTCTCTCTCTCTCTCTCTCTCTCTCTCTCTCTCTCTCTCTCTCTCTCTCTCTCTCTCTCTCTCTCTCTCTCTCTCTCTCTCTCTCTCTCTCTCTCTCTCTCTCTCTCTCTCTCTCTCTCTCTCTCTCTCTTAGATGAAACTCACGTCAATGTGGATGTATTCTTGAGTGCCGGAGCCGTCAGCCTTCTGGAGGAGGTGCTGGTCCAGACACTCCTGGGTGATGATCTTGGAGACGTCGTTGTTGACACACAACCGGAACTCGAAGTAGCCCTTGTGGTTGGTGGTGAGGTCTACCTCTACCGTCACCTCCTGTGTAAGCAGACTAAGGCGTCATTCTCTGCCAGGTTTACTACAATGTCAAAATCACTCATGCAGGGAAAATAAAATGTAAACTCGTGACTTAGTTATGCAGAAACAACAATCTGAAGGAACATAGTAAATCTAGAATTATATATTTTTCATATATCTATTTCCCGCATCTTTAATATTTGAGATTGAAGGAATGCGATCTTCCTATTTTAGCGCCTTAGTGTAGCTCTCTAGAGGGGGACGCCTGCTGTACCCCTGGGTCCCACCATGAATCTCTGACGGCCGAGGTTTACAACCTTTGACCAATCATTGTAATTGTCAACTTGCATCCTTTCCCTATGTATTTCATATGTATATATGTACATACATATATATATATATATATTTATATTTATATATATATATATATATATATATATATATATATATATATATATATATATATATATATATATATATATATATATATATATATCCATCCTAAAGGCATAGTTATAATTAACAAATACGTGAATAACTAATGCAGAAACTCCACTCAAGAATAACGAAGAAACAAGTAATCCAGTATTACTGAAAGTAGCTGTTCTAACTTCTGTTTAACCTGACCTATCATCTGCCTAGTGTATCTACTACTTGCACCGGGTTCTAGTAGACCAAACTGGTTCACACTTGTCTAGCATAATGTGCCTCCTACAGTGGTGGTTCCAGACGCAAGTGTCGAGTTACTACTTAACACTCAAAAACTTCCTGAAGGACTACGTCCTCCGGGAGTGCTGGAGGAATAAATAGAACGCGCATCATGTCTGCTCTCTCTCGTTCAGTACATTTTCCCTATCTTTGGCTGTCCTATTACTAATTGTCCTCAGTTCCTATTCCCCGTGACATTACCTGACCCATGGTGTAGTTGGCGACGATGAGTCCGGTGCCATAGGTGCCACCAGCCTCGTTGTCCCGGGGCTGAGGGTCGGCCCAGTTGTCGCCACACACGCCACACTGCCCGTCGTTATCCTCATACTGCACCTGTGTGAACGACGTCCGTCAATAGTGTCAACAACAGATTTGTTTTGCATCAAGGCGCCATGTAGTGACGGTTTAAGGAACTAATTGTGCTGTTTATGGCTGAGCTCCGCCTAGGGGTCGGAGCCTGAACTAGCAACTGTCATGGCGGCCAGGTTGCAGCGCGCCCCCGTGTCAACACGGGATGGATTTCCCTAAATGCAGTTATGTAAACAAGATGTAAATACAGATTCCTTGTGGATGGTAGTAAGCAATGTTTGTTATGACTTCATTCTAGACGTAATAGGATCAGCCTATTAAGCATGACTCCTGCCATCATTCCACACTAAGAAAGTTGTTTTCATACCCTGAAACCGGTCATGAGAGAGAGGGGAATGTGGGAGGGAACGAGGGGGAAGTATGATGGATAATAATGTTAATACGACTGGCTGTATGATGACTTGTTGGTTGCTAGGGGGGGGGGGGTAATGGGCCAGAAATACGGACCTCAATTACCCAAAACATTTCGGATTATAAGTTTTGGGTAATTTGGGTCATAATATAATAATACATTATTATACAGTATTATCTAGTAGTAGTAGTAGTAGTAGTAGTAGTAGTAGTAGTAGTAGTAGTAGTAGTAGTAGTAGTAGTAGTAGTAGTAGTAGTAGTAGTAGTAGTAGTAGTAGTAGTAGTAGTAGTAGTAGTAGTAGTAGTAGTAGTAGTAGTAGTAGTAGTAGTAGTAGTAGTAGTAGTAGTAGTAGTAGTAGTAGTAGTAGTAGTAGTACTATTATTATAAATAAACGTGACTTGAGCATAGAGAACAACGGGTTGTCAGCAAATGCCTAAAGTTTGAGGGTCTTTATACTGTCAATTGCCTCACGTTGTGGACGCTCCCCAGCGAGGAGGGAAGGCGCACACTTACCTTAAAGCCGCCACAGAAGAGCTCGTTGTCGTTATAATTGATGGGGGTGTCGAAGCCCTTCCTCCAGGCGGAGGAGCGAGAGACTGGCTCCATCAGCCGCCCGTGGCCCTCCACCCATCCTGACGCCCACAGCGCCACCACGCCCACCCACAACACCCTGCTGTCCAATCCCATCACCAGAGGTTCTTCAAGAAGTCTAATGGCAGATAACTTTCGTCCAGCAGGAGGCAGTGACAGCATTTATACCCAATGGTGCGTTACGTGACAAGGTCGTTGAGCTGAGTGTTGTGGTGCTACGTCACCCAGTAACACCTGGTGGATCTCATCCAGCGAGGACAACCACCTGATAACCCCCCCCCCTGGTGCATTGCTAGGTTGATCACCAACAGTTATTAAACCACACTCGTGTAAAGAGGAGCAGTAACAGGGCAACTTCGGGTTGTGAAATGCATGAAAAGGTAATTAGCAGGATAAGAATGATCACATATGAGCTTCACTATGAGTGAGACATACAGAGTGAGAGGGTGAGTGAGGAAGACGCAAGATGATGCCCACCTCTCCCTAGAGAACATGTTCTTGCCTCTCTGACAGTGTTCTTCACCAACAGCTTTGATTTCGTTGCTTTTTGGAATGTCAACTTTCAGAAAATGACGTAATCACAAATGTGCTAGACTAGACACAACATAATGTTTTTTAATCAATCTCTTTCATTTCAATGCTTGCATTCTTCATTTTAAGTTTACCGTGTATTGTAAGAGAAACAGGACATAATTAATTAAACCATACCCAGTGGTACTGTTAGATATGTACAATATTAGGCCCCCTAATTTATCAGGGAGCTACCGTGACTATAATAGGGAGATCCTCCCGGACACTTGTCCACTCAAACTTATCTCAACTACAAATGGATGGTGAAATTCCCGGCAGTAACCCAAAAATTAATCATTGTGTGATAAATAAAAAAAAAACAGTACCAGAGCAGACACTCTCTGGTGCTGCCACTTCCTCTGGCACTACACTAAGTCAGACCACTCACTGGAGAACCACCCGGCAAAACGTACCTAATTGCGGAGAAGGGGCTTAACGTCCCTATGATGGGAACTCGGTTTCGTTGAAGACATCATAAGAAGGAAGGTGAAACGCCATGCAACCTCTGAAGAGACAACCAACACAACACCTATACCCCCTATTAGACTATTTTACAGGAACTTCTTTTCCACAGCTCATAAAACGGAGGAAAGGGTCCTGAAAGATATTGTTAATAGGAACGTTATCCCTACAGACAAAAATCAGAAGATACAATTGACGATTTACTATAAAACCAAAAAAACGGGTAACCCACTCATGAGAAACTCTCCAGACACAAAGCAGAACGCTTTAAAAGAGACCAACGTCGCCTTTGCCTTCAAATCCCCACTTGGGGACTGTAAGCCTCAAAGAATTCAGTATATAGGCAAGACAACAACATCTTTTTTCAGGCGATTAACGATTCATAAGCAACAGGGCTCCATTAAGGAACATATAATCTCTTCCCACAACCAGACTATCACCATAGAAGTCTTAACAAAAAACACGGAAATCATCGATAGATACAGCGATAGCAGGCGGCTTGATATCTGTGGGGCACTACACATTAAGAAGTCGACACCAGCAATCAACAGCCAGTTAATGCACAACTATATTCTACCCACTTCAAGACTCCGCACCAATATAGAAGCATCAAGAAATATGGGCCAATAGGCCCTTTGCAGTTACTTCCATTCTTCCCTTTAACTTACAAAATATTATACCCATTGTTTCGTGTTCTGTCTTGTGTTGAAAGTTTGTTTTCACCTCATCCAAAACTGTTGTAACATATCACTTCACCCAAATGCAGGTATAAAATCGAAGCTGTTTGAACTCTGTTCAGTTATAGTTGTGTGTGTGTAAACTAAAGTCTTTGAAAATGTAATAAGTTTTACGAAACGCGTTCAAGTGTCGCGTCAGACTAGAAATAAAAATGAATTTTGGAGAATTGATTTTTCAGTTACCATCAACAGTGAAAAGAAATATAAGAAACATAGAGAAAATTCGTGTTAGAATTATTAATCTTACTTTTTCGGTCATATTTAATAATATATATATATATATATATATATATATATATATATATATATATATATATATATATATACATATGTCGTACCTAGTAGCCAGAATGCACTTTTCGGCCTACTATGCAAGGCCTGATTTGCCTTATAAGCCAAGTTTTCCTTAATTAATTTATTTTCTCTAATTTTTTTCTTATGAAATGATAAAGCTACCCATTTCATTATGTATGAGGTAAAAAAATTTTTATTGGAGTTAAAAATAACGTAGATATATGACCGAACCTAACCAACCCTACCTAACCTAACCTAACCTATCTTTATAGGTTAGGTTAGGTTAGGTAGCAGAAAAAGTTAGGTTAGGTTAGGTTAGGTAGCAGAAAAAGTTAGGTTAGGTTAGGTTAGGTAGGTTAGGTAGTCGAAAAACAAATAATTCATGAAAACTTGGCTTATTAGGCAAATCGGGCCTTGCATAGTAGGCTGAGAAGTGCGTTCTGGCTACTAGGTACGACATATATATATATATATATATATATATATATATATATATATATATATATATATATATATATATATATATATATATATATATATATATATATATATATATTTATATATATATATATATTTTATATATATATATATTTTATATATATATATATATATATAAATATATATATTTATATATATAGCGTTCCATTCGCCTCCGAGCGGGTTTTTATATACATAAAATATAGATGTCACGTCAATGACGGGAAAAAAACATGCATTTTTGAGGGTGTTTTTCATGTGATGGAAATCTTCAAACCTCTTTACCGATTGCTTTGAAATTTTGACACGACGTTGCATTCAAATAGGTGAGTGTTTTATATACCTACTATATACACGCCTCACCTGTGACAGGAAAAAAAAAACATGCTTTTTTTAGAAAACTGGCACCATCTGTAGGACGAAAGAGCAACACACGCTGTAATCTCCGAAAGTTCTTCACCGATTGCTTTGAAATTTTGACACACCGTTCCGTTCGAATACGCGTGTTTTTATATACCTACTATTTAGATGCCACACATGTGACAGTTAAAAACATGCTTTTTTCAAAACAGCGCCGTCTGTTGCACGTAAGAGCAACACACGCTATATAAAATATATTACGATTCCATTTCAATGTTACTGATTGCATTGATAAATTGAATTTTCATAGATTTTGATATTTTTTCATTTTGATTTAATTATTTTGTGTGACATTGCATTGGAATTGAGTTGAGTTGCTTACCATACCGTTCATTTCGTGGGTATAGTTTATTTGTTTCTTTTTTCATTGTTTATATTTCGTTTTTTAACTGTTCTTCTTATTTTTTTCAGTGCAATTGGTGGTGACACTGAGCTGTGTCGATTGATGTTCGTTTGAATTGAAATATTTCGTTAGTATTTTTTGTTTTTGTTTTGAAACAAGAAAATGGACAACACGTTTATTTCACAGCTGCAAATGTGCAACAAATATATATGAATCCACCGGCTACAACGTTAACTGCTTTTTTCACGTTATATCAAAATGATGCTTTGCGAAAACACTGCTGTATTCGGAAGTTCCTACGTATTACACGTGGAATGCCAGTAGAAAATCATTAGAACGACGCAAACGAGGAGAGCGAGTCGACGGACAACCTGGCATTTTCAAATAAATTACTATTGGCAGACTGTACACCGTGCATACCAATCATGATGAATGCTTCTTTCTTCACATGCTGTGGGTAAATGTGCCAGTTCCAACGTCTTTCCAGCAATTGAGATTTGTCAACGGCGTAACACATGCCACTTTCCATAGTTCATGTCAAGCTCTGAATTGATTGGAGAACGACCGACACTGGGATGTATGGATTAATGACGCGTCCAACACGTCAGATCCAAATCAAATTCGTGCATTGTTTCCAATCATATTGGTGGGTGATCTGTTGTCGTATGTGCAATCAAATATTCCTAAGCTAATGCTTGAGCGAAAAGGCATTTACAATCAAATAATTCCAACTGTCAATAACAGGGTTGGCTAAATCATCTTAGATGCGCCAAGAGGAACTGATAAAACCTTCCTAATTTGATTGATTCTGGCAGCATTTCAATCCCAAAATAGCATAACCTTAGCTCTTGTGTCGTTTGGAATAGCTGTAACGTTGCTACCAGGTGGAAGAACTGCTACTCCGGCTTTGAAATTGCCATTGAACATGCAATTCATTGAAACTCCCACATGCAACATTTCCAAAGCATCCGGCATGGGAAAAGTATTGCAGAAATGCAAACGTATTGTTTGGGATGAATGCACAATGGCCCACAAAAATCCGTTCGAGGCTCTTGATCGATTATTGCAAGATTGGCATGGAAACATCAGGGACCAGATTCACAAAGCAGTTATGTAAGCGCTTACGAACGTGTACATCTTACGTCAATCTTTGACTGCTTTGGTTACATTTATTAAACAGTTTACAAGCATGAAAACTTCCCATTCAACTGTTGTTATTGTTATAAACAGCCTCCTGTTGCTTCGGAGCTCATTAACTGTTTAATAATTGGAAACAAAGCCACCAAAGATTGAAAAAGGATGTACAGGTTCGTAATTGCTTTTGTGAATCTGGCCCCAGACCATTTGGGAACGCATTAATATTGCTTGCAGGATATTTCAGGCAAACATTACCTGTAGTTCCTCGATCGACACCAGTGGACGAAATAAATGTTTGCCTGAATTACTCTACTTTGTGGCGCTATGTAAAGACGTTAAAATTAACTACAAATATGCATGTCCAGCTGCAAAACGATCCATCAGCTGAGATATTCTCACATCAATTTCTGGAAATTGGGAACAGAAACGTGCCGGTTGATCTGACCTCAGGATGAATTTCATAGCCTCATAACTTCTACAATTTAGTGACGTCAAAAGAAGAATTGGTTGAAAAAATATTTCCCAATATTCAAACCAATTATAAGACTTACGATTGGCTGAGTGAACGAGCTGTTCTTGCGGCCAAGAACAAAGACGTCTAAGAACTTAACAATATTATTCAGTCTAACATCCAAAGCGAGCCAGTCACATTCAAGTCCGTCGACACTGTTGAGGAAGAAGATGAAGCGGTTAATTATC